ATAGCCGCCGCAGCGCGCTATGGTAGGTGGCCTCCGTATAATATCAAATTACCCAAATTACTTATTCTGCATTGGAATTAGAGGCAACGATCTTTGTTTGGAACTTGAATTGATATCTCAGTAACCAATAGAGTGAATACAATTGAAATATTTCTATACTATTATAAATTTGAGTTGGTGTCTGTCTGTCTGTCCGGCTGCCACGACTAAAATACTAAACCGATACAGCCAAAATCAAGCACAAAGATTGTCCGCATATCTAGGAATGCTATAGGCATATTCACTTCCCAGAGATCCTCTCGGGCTACGCCCCTCAGACGTCCAAAAATTTATGTAAGGTTTTCAAAAGTTATTATAATAATTTGTATCCATGGAGGCATGATAAAATTCGTGTCGTTAACACTTTATTTACGCAATCGTACTATATAACTAACTTATACTATATACTTATAAGTTGCGTACTGTTACAGTGCTATACTGACATGCTTTACACTTTGTCTCTTAAGAACCCTCTTCATGTTTCCTAAAGATATTTAATACATTTATACCTCCCATGGACTTTGTAGTCGAAACACAAGCTGGTCTTAAATTGGAATTAACATAGAGATGTAACAGCAAAAAAATAAAAATGAACCCTTGACCTCTATTTGGGGGGGCCTATACTCCGGGGGCACCATCAAATTTTGAATCGTATTTCGAGCCAATGGTTCGGTGCTCGGGGCCCCTCTGGAATTGCCTACCTCAAAATTACAAATCCTTTGTTAGCTCGAGTTACAGCCGAATTTGAATTTCCATTCAGTAATATCCTTTTGTGTATTTATCTTTTCCCCTAAGTCATTTTGGGCTCTGACTCGTAAAATAGTCGTGAATTGTGGTTATGGTTATGGAAATAACAAGAAATAAGTTAATATGAAGCTGTAAAATCGACTTAAGGAATTCTTAGAGTTTTTAACAGTTATCGCAATCAAATAGTTAGCATCAATCCATTAGATTACTAATACGACGACACAACAGGCCAGGCCTGTGAAGGTGAGTCAAAGGTGACAATTGTTAAATGCATGAGCATTTTATTATAGTTTTTTACTACTTACTAAAATCAGCTGATTCTATAGCCAAGAATATTTATCAAGCTCTTGATTATCAAGGACAGCTGTATCCAGTTCCGAACAATTAACAATGTAAAATTTAAAATGTTGCACTAATATTTGCTATTGCAAACTTTACTGTTGGGTATTTGAATAAACTTTAAGCGGCAGATAACATTTATTATTACATCATCCTTTAAAAAGACAGTTAGTTTTGCAAATAGAATTGAAATAATTGTAAGTATTGTAAACGCAGAGATTTTATAATTAAATTATACAAACATTCATAGTTGGTTTTGAAACAATGCAGTTCAAATTTTTTAACAGTGCATCAACATTAACATTGTTGAGAGGTGGTGTATTCTTGCGGCGAGTTTGGGAACTAACATCACTGAAACTAGGGGTGTAGAAAACAGAACATTGTTTTTCTCAAATGTGACACGTCTAGAAAGTACTGTAATCCTATGTCTACAATATTATATGCATTATTCATTATTTAAGGAATTTTGAATTTGAGTAGAATTTATTACTTAAGAGTTTATAAAACATTAAAATGTAACTTATGGTTAATTTAGAAAATAGTATTGAAATGTTTAAATATATTAACACTTATTTGATTTCAACAATTGCCGCTGCTGATTGCTTTATTCGTATGGGTAAATCTATAAAATGTTGTAACACGTTTAAATTTCTAATCGGTGTATAGTTGTAGTTAATACTAAAGCTTTTTGTGCGATGAAACATTCAGTTATTGTCATAGTTCTCGCATTGAAATCTGAAGTTTGCTTGTTCGAGTCCAAGGGGTTGATTATATCAATGATTGCTACAGTATCTACAAAATATTGACACAAGATATAAGGCCTTGTTTTGGACATTTCCTTTAAAAAATCAAACAAATCGTAAAACGCCACAAAGTATATAATTATAGGATAATATGGATTAGTGGGTTACTATATTTCCTTATCTACCTGTAGGTAATCAAATACAGTTAACTAAATCTTACAACCAATTACACAAATCTGCACAATCGGCAACGATTATATCGGACAATACAGCCAATGAGAATTATTTTAAATAGTCGAGTGGTTTAGTCCTAGAGGAGTGCTAGATTGGTGTAGTGGCTCCATAGAGTGATAATGATCCTGATCACCATATTGTTCCGCCTCTTCTTACTCTATGTAGGCGTGTATTGCCTTGTACTATTGTAAAGTATCTATCCACTTGTCGTTGTGTAGGGGTTTGATTGAATTTAATAGCTGGTTTGGTTCGTTTAGTAAGCAGTTTTTGTTTCAATGGATTCGTTTCGTTGTTTTAAAAGTTTTAGAGCGAATAATAAAGTGCGTCGAGTTAACTTAAGACAATTGTTGGCCATATACTGTCAAAGGCTAACCAAAATATGAATATATTTTTACATAACTTATTCATACATGTAATATTATATTATGTATGATTTACCGTCGATATGGACTCAAAATTGTATAAGTTCTTTCTAAAATCCATGTAGAGCATTGCCAATAAATAAACGACGAAAATCTTTTTGCCAAGATGTCTGCTATTATTAATTGCACATATAAACTTAAAACTTGAGTCGTTATCGATCGAATGTATTCATTTACTACTCCTTTCTCTCCCATATTGTATGTATTTCCTCCAAAGATTTTTAAGATTTTTAAAATATATTATTTAACTTCATAAGATAAGAAAGACCTAATAAAAATTAAACGTAATAAAGCTATAACACGAAATAATCCTTGGATTTCCTAAGGTATAACTATACTTAATCGTTGCGTAAACTACTGTTACAGTACTATACTGACATACTTTACACTTTGACTCTTAAGAACTTTCATCATGTTCGCTAAAGATATTTAATACATTTATACCTCCCATGGACCTTGTAGTCAAACATAAGCTGGTCTTAAATTGGCTTTAATAAAATTAAAAATATACAATAAACTAAAAATATACATAATGATTAATAATTGGAGTTGCTTTTGTATGAATGTCTTTGATGTGTACAACAAATTGATTTCACCGGAATCCCCGGAATATTCACATTGTAAGAAAGGCATTTTCCCCGAAGGTTTAGTGTATACTTGAGCTTAGTATTGATATTTTAGTTAGTAATAATTATATAGTAAACAGCTGATCACAATAAATATGGTGTTAGTATCAGCTGTTTGGCTGGGCATTGTTGTCACTTCAGTTACTGTTGCTCATGACCTACGCGCTGCGTGTCAGATAATGACCTAAACAGCTGTTATTATCACACCTTTCTGGGCCTCAGGCTAGATTGATACACCTTCATCAGGTCCTTCGGAATTTGTAAACGGCAAAAGCTATTATGATTTTTCACTTAATTTCCTTAAATAGTTTACACTAGGAGACACCAAGTTGACAAATCTATTAGTTTTGTATAGCAAAGCTTTCGAATTAATTTTTGTAACGAAAAATTTATATGTCCAAAACAGGTGTGTCAAAATTAACAACCCAGTTCCGGAACTATACCACTAAAAAAACTAACATTGGTAATTGGTGGGGTTTAGACCCGGGATTCAAGTTCAGAATAACCACTCTGTAACCACTAGACACAGTGTTACTGTATACTGTGAAAATATAGAAAACGAACATAAAATATTAGTTGAAATAGTCCTCAACCAATACAGTTTTTCCTAACCTTAGAAACATTTGGAGATTTTATGGAAATGTGGAACTTAAGCTGCTCCCAACCATCGGTTTCCAGTTATCTCACAATCATAAAAACCAGGACATCCATGACGCCCCAAGGTATAATCCTCGATCAGCCGCACCCCAATTGATATCAGATTTAGGCTTATGTTAAATTAGAACTACCATGGATTAACATTAAACCTTCTTTACGATTCGTAAAGAAGTACATTTAGTCGTACACGATTTAGTCTACAATGTTGCAAATAGCCTCAGTTTGTTTAGCTAGCCAGTTCTGACGCAGCTTTGGCAACTTGTGGTGTTTATTTGTACGGGTTTAGTTGAGCGAAAGTGTTTCACCAGTGGAACGGTAAACATTTCAACGTCCAGAGCTGCAGAACAGCTGTTCGCAACATGTATGTTAACACATAGACGCTCGTTTGTTTACAACTTACGATAAAGTCACGGGTTTTAGCGCTATTACTTGTCTTTCTTACGATGGCGGGTTTCAAGGGAATGTTGACGTGATATATTGAATTAAACATGAACACGTTCACTACATTCAGTATATTCACTGCGTTTATTATTTTCACTCTTTCCGGTATTTACTGTATTCAGCATGGTAACTAAAAATGATAGTTTTATTATCTGTTACTATCGAGCAACAAACAACATCACAAAGGGTTATGGTAGTGAAAAGTTTCAAATTTTTTGTAAGCGTTCTTATATGGACAAAATAATGAAAAATTAAACTATTACCAACAAAATATAACTTTGTACCTATATTTCATCCATGTGAGATGTGTAAATGTTAAACAGTGTTCGATTTTCAATGGAGAACTATGTTAACTGCGATACTGATATACAGCCACTTTACAGGGGTAGACTTTCGTATCTACATCTTTCGGGGCACAAACAACCGAGTGAAAATATCGATTGACATATCAAATGAAACAATCGAACAATCGATATTTTCATTCGGTTGTTTGTGCCAACAGATACGGAAGTCCACCCCTATACAGTGACCATACTGGTATTACAAAAATGTTTAACATTAAAGTGGATTTGCAGATGACCCATCCCTTATATACCAAACTCCTAGATCACTAAGATTGCAAATAACCCAATCTCCCGAAGACCAAAACTCAACATATTACTTTGTCTTTGACAACAATAGAGTTTAAGTGGATTATGTTCATGTGTAAACTAAACGTTTTCGCTCATCATGCGTATTTTTGTTTGTTTCAGTTCCTCGATGAAGATCTAGTCTTTGAAGAACCGTCGGGTGGTCCCAGATGGAAGGTAGTGAACCACCGAAGGACGGCTAGTGGTAGTGTTAGTGATAGTGGAAGTGACGGTGTAGTGAGTGATAGTGTGTGGGGAGGTGCAGCAAGGATGCTGGACAGGGTGAAGAGGCAGTTTGATGGTTGGTCGTTCTGGTCAGATTCTTCGGAAGAGACGACGCCGGAGACGTCGACGACGGAGAAGGAAATAACTTCGCAACCTTTGTATTCCAACACGTGAGTAGCTAGGTGTAAAGTAATGCTATTGTAGAATAAAATAAACATTTTTTCGAATGGGTAGCCTCCGGATTATCAAGATACAATTAAAGTGGTTTAAATACCTGTAATGTTGATAATTCAATCGGTTGTGAAACAACTAGTTTCGGCTCACAATGGAGCCTTCTTCAGGTTTTCCCAAGGATATTATCACTTCTTCCGAAAAAAGAAGGCTACATTGTGAGCCGAAACTAGTTGTTTCACAACCGATTGGATTATCAACATTACAGGTATTTAAACAACGTTAATTAAAATAAACAGTATCCGCAATATGACATACTTTCTCCCATTTAGCTTGCCAACAACGCTTATCATGTGTAAGCAGTGGAGTAACTATATTTTATGGGAAAAGTCGCAAAAATTGCGATAACTATTTTGGACCATAGTTTTTACAGCAATGGGGGCTGTAACATTTTGTTTAGAATCAATTAAAAAATTAACCAGTTGATCTGCCCGTGCTTCGCTACGGGGTGTGAATGCAGGAAAGAATAATTCAGTTTTTAAAATCCACTATAAGAAACAGTTAGGCCTACATCACGCTTACCAGGAAACATATAAGCAAAGCTCAATCGTACTTATTGGTTATTTAAATGCAGATTTCCTAATATATTACCATAACTTTATAGTGTATTGCATTTAAAATACTGTACTGTAATATGCAAAAGTCTAATTCATTAACCATATGGCGCCAGGAAACAAATCTTCATTATAAACAAATTTAATTAAATAGCAGAACGAAGCATAACAGCTGCGTAAGTACATTTTCTTCATAAAAAATACATTGGGATTTTGATAACCTGTGGGGTAAAGCCTGAGGACTTTTATTACAGGAATTGGTGAAAGGGGGCGTCTACACAAAAAAATGCTTAATTTTGACACATAAAAATCCGTCAAATTTTTACGGAGGATTAGTGTGTCGTATAAATCAACATCACGTATTAAATATAAGGATAGTATTGAGTTTACCATAAGAAAACCAATAGTTGTCGTACTCGGGTCTTGTATCCACATTCAGTGCAAACCTGTTACAAACAATTTAATAATAGGCTTTAAACATTTTTCACTTAAACTCGTAAACAGTAAGTTAAATGTTTATTTGTTATTGCGATGGAACTAGGTAACACAAGTTTGACAGTTAAATCTTATTTCCACTTCGAATTAGTCTAATTGTAGGTGTAGATGGTTTGAGGTGTGTCGTGGCGCACGCAAGGTAACTCTTCACTGTTCCCTGCCCTATCCCACTGTGGCACGCCCGACTGTGCGGACCACTAATCATAGGGTAACACAGTTTAGTCGCACGAGCCTTCAGAATCAAACAGAAGCAACACGGGATTCGGCTACTGAATTGCGCTTCAGAATTAATGAACTTGAAAATTTCATAAGCAGGGGTGAAAGTGTTTGCAGTTTTGCAAAATGGTATTTGGTGGAAAATTTAGGGACGCATAATTGATTTTGATAGAATTTATCGAATTTTTTACCTCAAATGAGAGATGTTCATATGTATAATTGTAATTGTAAATTTCACTTCCTTTGGGCAACAAATTGTGTTTCAAGTGTAGACCAACGTGTGATTTCTACGGCGAGGTTTACATAACATCGATTTATATTATGGTGGATTTACATAACTTATTAAATTTTCTTATAATTTTCCAAACACCTCACATGTAATTTACAAACCATTAAGTTGGGTTAAAAAAAAATAATCTACTCTATTTTTTTAACAGACGGATTTGCTTCCCGGGATTTTTCCCAAACAAATTAATGGACTAAAAGATACTGGTGAATACTGAGTGTTGTTCCCTGAATTTAAAACGTTAAAAGGTTAACATAATCTTTATAAAAATATCAGAAGGTACCAAGGAGGTTTTTATGTATACTTATGTTGTGTTGAATTATATTTTTTACTTTGAACAATTGGTACAGCCAACATAGTTGGGCACTTCTCTAAAAAACTGTGCTTTTCATTGCCAACTTTATCAGTATTGTCTTTTTGGCGTAGAATGTCAAGTGATTGAGCGTAGAGGTTAGGTTTTATATAGCCTAGCATTATTTTTTGAAAGCCCCTTGACAAAATTAATGTAGCCTAATAAAGGTCCAGAATTAATCACGCTTGGAATCAAACAGCAATTTTCAGATTTTGTAAAATTAACATCTCAAAAGTAACCTAATTGTTTTTTATATACATTAATCACATTTAAAAAAATTATAAAACTGAGCTGTAGAGTTGATTCTTGTTTTTAATCAATGTTGAGTATGACCCCAGAGACGTGGCACTGTGTACAGTATGCTAAAATCAATAAGGTGTTTCAATAAGGTCATTGTTATTTTTTCTGATGTGGTGTTGAATTAAGGAAAGAAAACTAAATAATACAGATTTGTTTCTAAAAATCAATGGCATGAGTATAACTATTTCATACAGTAAAGAGAACTGCTTTTCTCTTCTGCGACTTTTCCACGTTGCAGAACATTGGTATCTAAAAAAATAATTAATTGAATTAATTTTTTTACTAAATTAATATTGACCAGTCAAATGAAAGATTTCACAAATAAAAACCCTATGTAATTTATGAAGTTCCCTACTAAAAATTATACTTTTGTCTTGGGTCAGTTGAAAAAGACTATTAGAGCAAAGAAATCGCATACTTGATAATATTTGAGCGCCTACAATCCTAGAAGCGCAGCTTTAGAACACACTTGCACTGCAGGTTTTGCCGATAGTATATGAAGGCGCTCCTTTAACATTGTTATTGCCATTGACTTGAATACAAACCGTATATTTAATCAATGTTATTGATCACTTTACTTGATGTTTAGGTGACAAATAAATTAACTGTCTATCAGTTATATTAGTGTAATTAAGGTAGAACGAAACATTAATTCTAGCAACAAATATGGCTTCATAGTTCTATACATTTTTCTATATTCATATTCAATTATGTACAATACTTTTGATTCAGTAAATTATAAAAACTAATTAGTAAAAGATCTAATTAAAGTAGAACTAAACATTAATTCTAGCAACAAATATGGCTTCATAGTTCTATACATTTTTCTATATTCATATTCAATTATGTACAATACTTTTGATTCAGTAAATTATAAAAACTAATTAGTAAAAGATCTAAACCAAAACAATTCCAGTTTTAAAATATTTTTTTATTGAGCTTTAGCTAATAACTTTACTCTCTATCTCTAAGTTAGGTATCTATTTTTTTTTTCGTTAAAAGATGTTGCAAAGAATTATGTGTACTAAAAAGTTACCTTTTGATCATACATGCATTAAAATAATAACAATTTATTTTAATAAATGAGTACTGTTTTTATTCAATTTCCATTCCACTATTTGTGCCATTGATGGATGAAATTCTATGATGTCAATGACTAAAACATTTTGAACTACATAAGTACATTTTAAACCTTCACTTTATAATTGGAGGAATTTCAGGAGTAGTTAATGTGTTATTGTATGAGTATTTGCCTTTAAAACTGTAAAAGATGCTCTACTAGGGACCTAAGGTGATCTTTTAATTTAATCTTGAATGTGTTAAATACCTGCTTCTTGGTATACTTGGATAAAACATGGTACGGTAATGAGCATAAAAAAACCCCCAAAACTACAAGTGAATGTAGAATACCTAAATGTATTCACTGGTTCGATCCTGAGAAGAGCCAGAAGCTTTTGATCATTGGGCTTTTAATGAATGGTCCTGGCTGAAGAATCAGCTGATCCGAGTCAGTTACAAATCTGTCATCTCGTTTATGCAACATTCATTTTTATAACCTTAAAAAAATTAACCTGATATGTCAGAATACTATAAATTCTAATCCATCTCCAAATTGACTGAAATTATAAATTTATCAAAAACTTAAATTGTATTCACTTTTCAGGTTATCGAGAGATACACGGAGTACAGACGGAGACGACGTTGATGTTTTCAACTCCACCCACCATAACAACTACCTGTCGTCACTGACGACGGACGATGACGACTTTAACAACGGAGGCACGTCAGGCTACCATTCCTCTGGAGAACCGACGGAAGACCGATTCCCAGAACCTGATGATGACGATCTGATCCCAGTGAGCTCGGAGCCACCAGACTTTGGCAGTAACAACTTTTCTCCCCAACAGAGAGGTAGGGCTTGAAAAGGTTAAAAAGTGGGTTTTATTGGGTGTTTAGAGAAATTTTTTATAGTAAAAAGCTACTACAGTAGGAGGCATGGTAAGGCCCAGACCTGAGACCGATTTTTTTCATTTCGATGTCCCTAGAGGTTGAAAAAAATATTCTTTAAAATTATTAAATATGTCGGTAAACACAATAAACCAAGAAAATTGTCATGAAATGCCCGATTTAATCCCGATCTGGCTGATTTGATTACATTTTGCATGAATTTGTTGGGCTTGATAATTTGATTAAGTTCCTTAATAAACATGATCGATTGATCGGGCAATAGGAAATGGGTTTTGAAGTCTTCAAAAAATTGTTTTCTACGATTTTACCATTAAAACATAAAAATGACCAATTTTCAATACAGTTAAATAGAGCATATAAAAACAAATAGTTTTATGGATTGAAATGTTGTAGTATAACAAAATATGAAGAAAATAAAAAAAAACTGTATTTATAAAATACTCTTGTATTTGTATGGAGAGTAAGTATACAGGGTGGTCTGGACCTAGCGTTAAAATTTTTTTCGGGTGGTAGAGCAACACAAGTGTGACTCAAATCCACAATTTAAAAAAATATATTCCATACACCCACTTGCAGAAACATTATTTTGATTTTTTTAGAAAAACCTGTACATTTACACAAAATTTTAAAATTTATGTAGTATTTTCATACAATTTTATAACTTTGACACTACCATCATATTCTCCATTAAATTCTATGTAAGAATAGACAGCTTTTGGTAAGCCCAAAGCTTCAGAATTGCTATTTAAGTCGATTAGAACTAAGAAATTTTGGTTTTCACAAAAAAAGGTTAAAAATAAGCCTACAGACACTTTTAAAAGAAAAATACTAGACATAAGCAAATGGCTACAAAAACTGCTCTAAAATTTTAGGTTTTAAAAGATATGATGAGGAATTTAATTTGCTTCATTTTAAGTACAGCTATTCCAGTTATAACTGTGGAAAACATGGTTTAAGGAAAACAAAAACACACTATAACAAAAAAAAAAACACACGATAGTTTTTATTATTATAGAAACAGCATGAGGCTACAACAAAATTTGTATCTAGACAAGTTCAAAACAAATTCCAAGTATTGGATTGATAACCGAACTAAAATGCAAGTTCATTTTAATTTATTTTCAAAATGTCCTCCATTCTCTCGGATGCAGGCTCTAGCTCTCTTCCTAAAAGAAATCCATGGGGTTCAGATCAGGAGATCTTGCGGGCCAGGGCACTGGAATTGAATACACCTTGTTTTGTAAAAAGAGCTTCATCTGTCCACAAATCTTTTTGAAAAAGTGGTATTGTTCAATGTCAGAATTCAGGAGGTAGCGACAGAAATCTACTCTAGCACCATGCTCTTCTCAATACTCCTTTCAAAAAAGATTTACTATAAACGTTTGGGCAGCTGTAATTGGTGATTGCTTCTTAGGTCCCCATATTTTTTAGGGAAGATTGAGTGGAGAGATGTACCTTGAATTTTTTCAACACGATCTGCTTCAAATTTTGGATTGATTCCTGTGCTCCGTCAAGATATGATTTATCAACAAGACGGAGCACCTCCTCATTTTACGAATGACATTCAAGATTGGCTGAGTGCTAACTATCCCACGTGGATAGGCTGAGGAGGTCTGGTGCCCTGGCCCGCAAGATCTCCTGATCTGAACCCCATGGATTTCTTTGCGGAAGAGAGCTAGAGCCTGCATCAGAGAAAATGGAGGACATAAAAAAAAAAAAAAAATAATAAAATGAACTTGCATTTTAGTTTGGTTATCAATCCAATACTTGGAATTTGTTTTGAACTCGTCTAGATACACATTTTGTTGCAGCCTCATGCTGTTTCTATAATAATAATATCATGTGTGTCTTTTTGGTTTGTTATAGTGTGTTTTTGTTTTCCTTAAACCATGTTTTCCACAGTTATAACTGGAATAGCTGTACTTAAAAGGAAGCAAATCCAATGCCTCATCATATCTTTTAAAAGCTATGATTTTAGAGCAGTTTTTGTTGCCATTTGCTAATTTCTGGTATTTTTCTAAAAAAGCTTGTCTGTAGGCTTATTTTTAACCTTTTTTTGTGAAAACCAAAATTTCTTAGTTCTAATCGATTTAAATAGCAATTCTGAAGCTTTGGGCTCACCAAAAGCTGTCTATTCTTACATAGAATTTAATGGAGAATATGATGGTAGTGTCAAAGTTATAAAATACTACAGAAATTTTAAAATTTTGTATAAATGTGCAGGTTTTTCAAAAAAAATCAAAATAATGTTTCTGCAAGTGGGTGTGTGGAATATATATTTTTAAATTGTAGATTTGAGTCACACTTGTGTTGCTCTACTACCCGAAAAAATTGTATCGCTAGATCTAGACCAACCTGTAAAATATGTTGTAGTTAGCTTGTTTATGGATATATTTTGATCACAACCAGAAAATTTATTTATATCACTCAATATAATTGACATTTTACCAAGATTACTCTTTTCCTTCCAGCAGTGAACGTAAGTACTCGTTAAACCTAATGTTATTGAAAAAGGGAAGACATCTGACATGTCAAAGGAACATTTTATTGAAGCTATGGTTCCACAGGATGCGGAATCTCCGCCATGCGGTGCATAATTTTTTGCAGCGGAAAATTACGCAGCGAAAAATCTAGAGGGGTGGTTCTACAGACTGTGAAAATAACGTTGCGGAGATTCAGTTCTGTCCAAACTAGCGACGAGTATGGATAGAAAGAGGAAAGCCCTTTTGGCTTTAATGCTATATGATGACATTGATGATGATGTTGTCGATCTTTTATCTTTGTTAGTGTAAAGTCACAGTGATCGAAGTGACATATGTGAAGGGGCCTATTTTTGCTATTTATTTAACAAAACTTAAGGGGTTTCAATCACGAGATCCCGTTTAACACTTGATACCCAAACATCTCAGGATAATTGTTAGTCAGGTCTACCATTTTCGACAGTTTATGTTAAATGTATTATAATAATTTATTTTAACAGTTAGTTTGTTGAAAGTCAGTGTTGCGATTATAGGTGTTACTTTATAATCGTTCATCTATAACTCTTTTTACAGCATATGACATAATGAAACTGCACGGTCACAATACTTGATGGCTCTTCTCCGCTGGCGGAATCTGCACTGCTACTGCTCTCAGACCAGTATGATTTCTCCGCCATGCGGAACCGAAAATTCAGGATGCGGAATCGCAAGTCAGTGGAACCGCACACATGGGAACTCCATTAAACCAGTGTCGTTTTAATTCCTCAGCGGAAAAAATCGCACCGCACGGCGGAGATTCCGCATCCTGTGGAACCATAGCTTAACAATTCAACCAGACAAACGGAAATTTGCTTAGTTTGCAGTTTTGCTGCGGTGGGATATTTTACAGTTGTTTTTAATCTTTTTGCTCTGTTTATCCAGCTTTCTTCCGAGTAACGATGACTGTTCACGAGCCGTACGCACCAGATTTTGCCGACAGAAACAGTGAAAAATTCAAGGAATTCTCTGAGAAGTTCTCTCGAGCCATAGATGAACTCCTAGTCAACATCGAAGGAACACAGAAGTCTGGTGTGATCGATATGGACAAGTAAGTATTCACTCTTAAGCCGGGTTTTCCTAGGCGCGGAAGTGGAGAGCGGAGAGAGGAATGCGGAGAGCGGACTCCACTTGTCTTAGGTAATTTAATGTTACTGTTTTCCTAGAAGTGGAGCGGAACACTATGTTAATCTCTTTTCCGCTCTCCGCGTTCCTCTCTCCGCTCTCCGCTTCCCCGCCTAGGAAAACCCAGCTTTACCTTAAGTAGAGTCTTTGGATGAAGTTAGTGTCTTAACCTCTCTCTTTCACCGCCAAAAACTGAGTCGGCCATCACAACTTATTATATCGAAACTTTATAATTATCACACTGCTGCCTGTCACTATGGACTTCTGGCGTTAGGGGCAATGATCCGAAAGACAGTGAAGTAACTTGGTATTAGGTCACATAGGCAAGCTATTAGTGAATTCAGTGATAAGATTAGAGCAGGTGCTGATCTTGAAACAGCAATGCTAGCAAATCAGCCTGTGTCTTAGGCTGTGGTTTGCTAGACGTGCAATAGATACGCTGTGTATGAGTACTATAACTAATAAGCTCGGACTATTTGCTGCGGCCTGGACTGTCTGCTTTTGGAGCAGTCAGTCTGAGCTGCGTAGCAACATTAGACACACCATCACAATAGACAGCACCTTCCTCTAATGCAGTGAAAAGAGTAAACTATTCTAATAGTGATGAAGAAGAGGTCATTGAAAAGGTGTTGGGATACGACATTTTGTGGAAGTTTAACCATCCAGACTAAAAAAAGTAATATTAGGAAGGACTTCGCTGTCTAGGAGATACCTACTAACTAATAATGTGTACACCACCTCACTTACTCTTATTTTGTACAATTTTGAATACAGCTTACCACTCTTTAGAGTTTGATACAGGCCCGTTTTTGACCCTGCCAGCGCCCTGGGCACAACTATTATAGTAAAGCCCCTTTGGAACATATATATCAGGGTGTCCACCGACCGGGAAATCCGGGAATTATGTTTGAAATTTTTAACCGGGAATTATGCATGAATTTTGTATTTCTACCTGGAATTTTCAATTTACCGCAATCACTCACGATAACAGTTACGTTTCCGTGATCGTAGGAGACAATAATATGTCAACACACGGCCATGATGAGGAATGATCAGAATTTTCTGTGATCGCAGAAGATGATGATACTACAGAAACGCGAGGTATGATCAGAATATTGCCGCCATCACGGAAGACGATGACGATCTCCACACGACTGCAGGATATGATTAACATTTTGCCTCAATCATGGGAGACTATTACGATGTCTTCACGACTGCAGGAGAAGATTACCATGTGCACAGGAACTCGGGAGATACAATAATTGTTTCTACACGGCCGCGAGGGATGATTAGAATTATGCCACGATCACGAAAAATGATGATAATGTCCACATAACCACGGGAAAAGAAAAGAATTTTGCCTCATTTGCGGAAGACAATGATGATCTTCACAAGACCGCGGGAGATGATTACTATTTTGCCGCAATCATCTGCTTGAGGAGAATTTTACAGGATTTGTGGAATAATTGTAAGCTGTGTCTCTGATTAGGAAATTTGATAATTTTACATTCTTACCATGTATGTGTGTGTATGTGTATATAGTCAATGGTGAAAGCCTAAGCTTATATGCAGCTCAGATGATTGTTGTTACAAGTGTATCCATTCTTTTATCTTTCGACATGTCACAAGCAGGTAACAGCATCAGAACTAGTTAATATTTTTAAACTTGTTTGTTACAGTTATATGAACTGAATACAAAAGGCAAATTTTAACAATAGATTGAACTAAATTTTTGTGATTAAGAAATATGCAAATAATATTTCCTTTTTCATCATGTGTAATACAATGTAGTACAATGTAAATACATGACCTTATTTTCAGGAGCGAATTTGACGTTTTTAATTCCTTTGTAACGTTTGACATATCATCGGAAGGAGCCACAAACAAGAATGAAATTGAAGACTTGTTTCGAAGACATATTGACCAGTTCCGCAATATTGGACCTTACCCAGTCAGCACGGATGGGCTTAGTGTCCGCGATTTCAGGGGTAAGTTAATTTGTGTTATGTTGAATGATATCACTCTTTATTTGTATGACTTTACTCTATGCCTAAACGTATACTTGTGAGATATTGGGAATATTTGATCTTTTCTTTATTTTAATGACTGTAAATCATGAGCTGTATTAAAAATATGTCTGTTTTTGCTTGCACAAAAGTCATGTGATATGTTTCAATTTTGGTTTTTCATCTACACTCTTTTTTAGATAAGTTTTAAACCATGCTTTTGGTTTAAACATATTTGTTTCAGTAAAGGATATTTTCAGCTATGAGCTTTTTATTATTGTATTTAGTTAATGCAAGTTTATGTTTATTTTATTTGTGTACTTGCGAGTGGTTGTTTTAGATATAATTCTCTAAAACCTCACGATCAATAGTACAGGATTTGTTTCTACTGTAGCCCTAACTGTTTTGATTTGAACAATAAAAATAATTACAAATAACCATTTTGTTTGGGTCAAAACTCAATAGAAAATATTAAGTGAATCAAAATAATTACGTAAATCATTGACTGGTACCAATATAAAAATTTAGGAATTTAGGAAATTTAGGATAAGCTGACTTTGGTACAGAAATATAAATAAAGAGATCTCCTAAAATGGATGGTTGACAAATTGTTGCGGCTTTTGGTCTACAATATTAATTTACTTAGGCTGCAATAATTGTAATTAGAGATTATGATTGCTGTTTTTACTCCAAACGGCAAACATTCAAGCATAGTAACATAATGTAGTGGGAGAGGCTGTAGTCAGTACATGTAAAAAATATAGTCATATGGGCGTGCACTTAGTAAAGAGGCCATGATGAAGGTGTTCAGTTTACATAGAGGTTCGTAGAGGTCTCGGGCACTGGGATTGGTCAATTCTATTCAATATCACCATTGTCATAACAACAACAGTTCACTAAAAAACTTAATCCTAGAAGTTAATCAAATTAAATGCAAATATTGTAATTTAGTTAAATTCAGTTGAATAAATTCTAATATAATAGAATTTGAATCAAACGCTTGTTAATAGTTACTATAAGGATTTCTGGTACATAGTCTTAAAATTTACCTGGGCCCTGTTTCATAAAAATACTAGTCTAGTAATTACTAGTCTAGTAAATACTAGTCCCGTATTTACCTGTCCTACTAATTTGTGTTTCATAAACGTTTTTATACCGCTAGTAAATACTAGTGTATTTTACTAGTCACGTGACCAAAACTACTAGTCACGTGACCAACTTTACAAGGTAAACTTTCAAAACTAATTTCCTCAATCACGGGTTTTCTAACCCTTTATAAAGGGTTTTAATTTTGTTTTCATTTGATACAAAAAGTAAATAGTTGTAGAAACGCAGTGTCTTCTTCTAATTAATAACTTTATAGACACATAAGTAAAACAATCACACATTATTTATCAAACCGCTATTATTTATGTTCATCAATGAGCACGCCGGCGCGGCGCGGCGTCGCGTCGCTGCAATCAACACGGTGATAGTAGTAGCCGGTTGTGGTTGTAGGCCTAGTTGCGGCGCTCAACAGTTGGGTGGAAGTTGATCTGTTGCTGCCGCATTAGCTGTGATTTGTATAGTTTTTGTTTTATTCTGACATATAAAATTAAGCTTGCTATGAGAAAAGAAAAGAAGGTTCAAATTTTGAATGTAATTAAATCGTCTAACCACATTTTGTTTATTGGAACGGAACGGTTTCAAGTACCCTTACCTATGTTTTCAAATATTCGAATGCATAAGGATATTTGGGTTAAAACCATTTGGTGATATTCTAATGTTGAGTCTACAAACCATGAATAATAAGCCTAAACGTTTATTGATGCAACAAATAATTGCAACGCCGTTACAAGCAATGGAGAAGTAGGTTTTTACAAGTATAGTAAAACATGGCATAGTCGCTACGGCATGGCGTAGCTCAGAGGTAGAGTTCTCGCTAGTCATGTGGTGGGTCCCTGGTTGAAATCCGTGCCACTCACTATACTTTTTATTCCATTAATTAAACTTTTACATGTTTAACATTAAAATAACAGCTCTAATCAACATCTAATTTTTTTATTACTTTGAATAACAAATTCAGAATACCAAAATGGATTAAAAGTAATGTTTTTATGGTAAGCAGTTCAGTTCAACAACCAAAAATCAAATATAGGCCTAAAAAGATTGTTAGTACATTACAGGGTTTTAGCTATTTAGAGAAACAAATAATAAGCACCTAAAAAATACAATGCAACTCCTCTTTAAAATTGTCTTACTATTATTCCCTATTAAAATGTCTTTAAATAAAACCGAGAGCCTTGGGTGTAAAATAATCTGATTAATGTTGCAATGTTAAGATACATTTTTGTACATCTTTGTATGCAATACGGTATGCGGTTTTAATTTGGTTTCTCTCAAAGCTTAAAAATCTTTTCTCTGTGATACCTAAATAGTTGATATAACCATAAAATTTAACTCAAGTAAAATTAGACTAAAATTTCAGAGAAATTGATAACTTGTAATTATAATTAATTCTAATAGGGCGATTGTACATACATTATAAAATTCAATTTCACTAATTTTGGACTACGCCACATTTATTGATTGTAATTTATATCTAATAATAATTATCATTTTGGCACTCACAGATCTATTTTTATCTTAAATTGCAAACGTGAGCCAATTCGCACTTGCAAAAAGAACTTAATAATTCATTTTTTTAAATGATGTGAGTAATGAAATAACTCTCTTTCCAAAAATACTAGTCTACTTCAAATAATACGGGTGTAGAGAGGTTGTTAGAAAATAGCAAGTATTTACCAGTGTAATTTACAAGAGTAAAACTTTATGAAACACATTGCTGTCTACACTAGTAAAAACCACTAGTAATACTAGTCCCTACACTAGTAACTAGTATTTTACACTAGTAGGTTTTTGAAACGTAGACTTGTAAAATACACTAGTAATGGACTAGTAAATACTAGACTAGTAGTTTTATGAAACAGGCCCCTGGGCAATCTTAAAGTGTTAACATTATGTAGTATATTCACCCAGATCTTTGTAATATTTTCATTTTTGGTGTGAGCAATAAACTCATAATTACGTTCGCCTGTGATCTACCTTTCGATGACATGTTGTTGGTTTCATGGATAGTGTTGGTTAACATTATAAAAACAACAATGAATACCTTAAAAAAAAGAGCTGCAAAACATACAAACTTTGCATTTTGATGTAGATACCCATTACTTTTAAATCAATCTAATAGTTGTATATAGTTATCTCTATGAATAGCATTTAAAACTTATTCTACAAAATTTCAAAAAAATATTGAAGGATTGAGATGTTACAATAATTCTACTCCTGCTCGGGTCATACAATTTCAAACTAACACTCTTTTTAGCACCCCAAAACAACACTAAAACAACCACTCTCACTCTGTTTATTATTTTTTTCCTTGCTTGCTATGGCATGTGTTGAGTTGTGAATGGTACAGATCCGCCCCGCTCACCCCCGCAGCTTCTTCCACCCGTCTGCAGACCGGGTGACATCGAGTGTGACACCTACTCCGGTGAACGTTGCCTCTCCAACGCCGCTCGCTGCAACGGCTCCACAGAATGTCTGGACGGATCTGACGAGGCCGGATGTCCTCCGGTCAACATCCCGTACATTCCTGGTAAGACCGTAAGTTTTTAACGGGGCGTCAATTAATCGCTTTCCTCCAAAGATCCAGTTTGGTTTGAGTTTTGAGTTTGTACGCTTGAAGAAAGTATTTAATGTTGATCACTGCTGTTGTGGTAGATTTGATAGTGTGATAAAAAAATTATGATACAATATATATTTATACAGTTTTTTTTCTTTAATGTCATTGCTTGAAATGTTAGGCATTAGTATTTTTCAATTTGTATTGAGTAGCCAGCTGCACTGTGTTTTGAACCCCATTCTTAGATCATATTATAAATATTCACTGAACATATTATAAGTATTATAATTTAATTTGAATATGCGTAGTATCATTCTAATAAAATTAAAGACCATCACCTTTGGTAAGTGTATATGACCAGTTTACCAATGTAATTTCAAATGTTTGTGGCAAGATTGGATTCTTTACAGTTGTAATATTATAATTAATAAGCTAAAACACTTGCAAAAGCTTTTGTCCTATCACTCAAAAGCAAACTTATTTATTTATCTTGAGTTTAAATAAAGGAAAATATAGTTACTGTAAAGTTTCCAACACTGATGGAAAACAACGTTCACCTACACAACACAAATCAAATACGTGAGCATTATATCCAAGTCTATTTCCAAAGTGTTTCCAAACTGTTAATAATGTTTGCCAGAATCAACCACCAGCACAACTACGACAACAACTACCACAACGACAGAGGCGACGACACCGGTGACGGCAGCTGTTACCACACGTTCATTCTCGCCTCAACCTGTCACGGGAAGCTCGGTGGACCAGTGTAGAGCCGATGACAAGGTCAGGTGCGAAGATGGCTCTGCTTTTATCTGCGACGCCCAGGTGTGCGACGGGAAACCTGACTGTCCTGGGGGAGACGACGAACGAGACTGCCCCACTGAGGGTTGGTGATACTGTCTTTGGGCGGTGGTGGTCGATGTCTAACTGAAAATGGGTGTCCACTCTTCCTTTCTGTGCAGAGACATGTTTGTAACAACTTGGATTCAAAAGTTTTAACTAAATTGTATAGAATTTAGCAAAAGAGCTAATCAAATTGGTTGTGTAGGGCATTTGAAAATACTTCAATCTTTCACATTTCATTCTAACTGAGGTTTTTAGTTTTCTGAAAAAGTAAGGGCATTAAGTTTATTTGGAATTTGAATTTAGAAAAGATGACCATTTATCAAACAGCTAGGGAATGTAATATCTTCAAATTGGTCTTTGATACTAAGTTTAATTTTAACATTCAGGGACTCTTTATTCAAAATCAATTATTACTATTTCACTTGAATACAAATAATATAAAAGTTCAGATTGTCTGAATCCCCTGTTAAAAGTACGTTGAATAAATAAATATGATTAAATAATTTCTGTCATTAACTGAGTGGCAGAGATACCTTCTAGTTTGAATATTTATAGATTGATTTTAGAGATATGCTTAGTAATGATTGTTAGAAAAGTTAGAAAAATATTGGTAAATTGTAAAAGTTTACTTGATAATCACTCCTTTGAAATGAGTAAGAGTTGTGTATAATGACTTGTACCGGTACTTAATCAAAGAAATGTGTAAATAAAATTAAATTGAAGTACAGTATCATTAAAACCATATTCATGCTAAAATTGGTAAACACCCTGATTTATTATATTTTTCTATCTGACTATTGAATGTGTTTTTTCCTTCCTCCCCCCCCCTCTCCATGTGGACACCCTAAATCTCGCTTTAGTCAACTATGAAGTAACCATTTCTTCTACCCTGAGACTAAGCTGTAATATAAACGCTTTTGTACATCTATTTCAGTGTCTTCAACTACCATGTTAATTGGTGCTGGGGGTAGAGATTACTGTTGTAGATAATTTGATTTGTGCAGATTAGAAAGAGATAAATACATCTATCGTAACTCTTGGTGAGGGTTGGTAGCGGACAAAGTAACATAGGAGGAACTATATCCTTTGGAGATAATTGATTTAGTGAGGATTTGGCTGGTAGGTTTAGGATGCATGATTGTACAGTGAAACTTACAAATATGTATAGGGTCTTTTTGACTTCATCAATGAATATAATACAGATAAGATTCTGGAATTATTAGCTTTGAGAAAACAAGCTTTCTTCACCGTTATTGTCTTCTGTGATCGCCAAAACACTGGGGATTATCTTCCACAATCTATTTCTTGAATAATCAAAGAAATGCTGTCAATGATTGGATGTTTAGCGATAGGCAATTGATTGTATTACAAGTTTCCCGATTCCACACTAAAGAGTCGTACAGTTCATACACTTTTTTTCTGGTCATCAAAATTGATGTGCGACTCACAAATTCCTCGGATTTCCAGTTGGCTGGAACTGTATTTAAAAACTCTAAGCTTTGTTAGTGTAAATACAGTAAACTTTTTCCCCAGCATATCGTCCAGATCAGCGGAATGTTTCGATTGGTGGGGATTAGGTGGGTTTTGCTTAGCGCCTGATGAATATTGAAAAACTTATTTTAACAAACCATATTGTTGTCAAACGCTCTTGGCTCCATTGAAACAATATTATTTTGTTGAATCTAACTATAGAGTAACACCTTGAAACGCCCTAGTAGTCATAAGGAATTACACTATCTAGTACATCCCAATAAAACTTTCTCTCTACAGATCCAATTGCTGCTAATTGATACAATTTTCTTCTTGGGTATTGGGGTGTGGAGTGATCAACAAAATGAAATTAATATCAAATTATTTGCTATTCGTCAGAATTCATTAATTTTTTGTTTGTTGCAACTAATTATACAGCCCTTAAACATATTGAAACTTTATAACCTTTATTTGTAACTCCATTGTCAAATAGATCAAAACTTGAATTAAAATTCTCTTTTTTCTCAGCTTCTTGCAGTTCTTAAAACATTCAACATGTACATTTGTTACTCATAATGGAAAATTATTAAAGTACTTGCATACAATTAAGGTTGGGGATATAGTGAAGTAGAAAGCGTGTGAGCGAGCTGGTCTAGCGGTAGAGCGGGCGACTTCGGTCCCCAAGGTTTCTGGTTCAAATCCCACTAATCATTAATGAGATTTTTTAAACTGTGTGATGATTCCTTGACCTAAAGGTTAAGATCTTGACCACTGATCTTGAAAGCAATCGGGAACAATTTTTTAAGCAAGAAAAACTTCCAGAAAATTACCTGGAAATTGATTTAAGTTTTTGTATATTTTCTGGTATTTGCGTGATCACAAAGTAGCAATAAGGAGGAGTGTCTTTGAGACATTTAAGTGCTATAATCATACATAAAATATCAAGGTGATATTTCTTTAAGTTTAAACTTAAATTTGATGAGGTTTTAAAAACAGAGGTAATTTTTGTAACTCTTAGTAGAATATGAAAGTTCCTAACAGCTTTTCACTGTAATCTTTATAAACAAGCTTTGAATATTATAGTAGAATCTCTCATATCCTACCTCAGGATCCTCTATTTCCACTCACCTAATTGCTTTTTTTTCCATATTATCTGTTATATCACTTTGATATGTTAATTTCAACAATTTGTAATAAACTTGGTTTTTCAGACCCTTTGTTCTCTTTTTATCAAACACAGAGATCTACATCTCATCCTAGGTTGGATACGAGGGGTTTTACTGAATTACTAAACCATTACTAATTTAACCATGTACATTACTGTATTATAGTAGCTTATAACTCTCCTCACAGTTGTAAACCCTCACGGTTCAGGGTAGTTTTACAGTTGTACAGTATTAATTTAGTTTTTAAGTGAGCTTATTTAGATATTGTTTAATACTAACACTGAAACTTAGCTGTATGTCCTAGTGGAGTAGATGTTGTAAATATTAGATGAAGTAGCCTAGATATAGTTTTATAAATTGTAAATATTATGATGTGTTCAAAAACGTCAAAAAGAGTAATAGCAATCTTTGTGAAATCATTAGTATAACAAAGGTTGTGTTGCAGTTTAAATATTCTACCTGTTCTACCTCTCTGTTAGTGAAGCGTCAAGTCAATATTCTTTATTATTATTCCTGTCAAGACCAGTAAACTATTATATGGAATTTCATGATGGGTAGCCTCTGGACCATACAGCAACAATAATAATGGTTTAATTTACCTCTGTCAATATGGTCCTTGCGTAGTTTGTCAATACTGCAGTTTCGTGCTCGTGGAGCACATCTTCAGGTGAAGTTAAAAAAGTTAAAACATTTTCCTCACGTGAAGGTCGTCAATTTTTGAAAACACACCAAAAAACACATAACAAAAACGAAAAAAAAACATTTATAAACTTGGCAAATACATTAAAAACGTTACACACGGGGTCCGGCGCCGGTAGAAGACAAGAGACAAGTCATGACTGACGTGTGTTGTAGTCAGTAGCCCCTCCATCCTCACTTCTCTTATCAGAACCTTTCCTTTGGTCTTGTTCCAGGATGTGAATGGCGGTATTATAAATAATGTTAGACTGGAATGAGAGTTGTTTGTTTAAAATATGGTTTGGATGTACTTTAGCTGCTCGGTAAATCTCAAATTCCTCGATGGTGTCCATATATTTACTTTTATGACAAGTATGCATTACTTCAAATTTTTTTTTGTATTTGGTATAACTATGGTTTGAATCAATGATATGGTTGGCAAAAAATTGAGGTGTGTTTTCAAAAATTGACGACCTTCACGTGAGGAAAATGTTTTAACTTTTTGACCTTCACCTGAAGATGTGCTCCACGAGCACGAAACTGCAGTAGTGACAAACTACGCAAGGACCATAATGACAGAGGTAAATTAAACCATTATTATTATTATATGGAACACTCGATGGGCTCTCAGTTTCAGACTAATATGTAAATTTGCCAATAAAACAGTCTAAGTTCATCTTTGAAAGCCTAAGCCTTGCTCAGTTTTGAGTTACAAACACTCTCTGCCAAGGAAAAAAAATAGTTTGTTGAGTTTTGGTCTACAGGAGATGGCTGGCAATGTTGAACTCACGAAAATACTGGTCAATGTTCATTTGAATTGTAGCTTTCCTCAAAGATGGATTGTTACAAAACGTCAAAAATGTTGGCCGGGTTTTCATCAGTTCAAAGCTATGGTTGTCTCTTTTAAGACCTTGCTGGTTTGACAGTGGAAAACTGTGTACCAGATTGAGAAATAGTTTGTTTATTGTTCAAAGTGAAGAATCTTGTTTATAATTCATATAACAAGCTACAAAAAGGATTTTAGTTTGTGGACTAAAACAGAACAAAACTTTTTGTTTCAATAGTATTATATCATTTTCAAATATTAGTGGATAAAAATATCCATCAAAAACACAATTACAGCTTTGAAGAAGCGTTTCTTTGAATTTTTATAGACAGTGGCAGTAAAACTTTACAACATTAATTGCTTGCTCCAGAGTGTTTCTTGTAGTTAGCTGGTTATTGATTCCAATTTGTGCTGAAAAATTATCAATTAAGTGTTTATTAGTTCAAAGATTTTTACAATGCTTGGAATAATTTACTTTCATCTACATTTGTGTGAATAAACACTTTCAAAAAATTAGTTTTGGAAACAAAGATGGCACAACTGAGGTACTTCTGGTTTCTTACGTAATGTTTGGCTGTTGCAGATTGCGCCACTGGCGAGTTCATGTGTGATCTGACTCGGTGCATCCCGCAAAGCCAGGTCTGTGACGGTGAGGACCAATGCAGCGACAAGACTGATGAACAGGACTGTCCTAAAGGTGAGTCTACATTAGTATTTCTCACAGGATTTTACTGTGTAAAATTTGTATTCAAGTATCTAATGATTGTTGTAAAGTAAAGCAATCTTAGTTGTATTTAAATTGGGGAATGAAATGGTCTAGTGGTTAGAGTGCAGGACTCCAAGCGGGGATTCAAATCCCGCCAAATCATCAATGGGTTTAATCTAAGTAATAATACTGCAACCTCTAGGTCTTGTTTGAAGTAATGTGAAAAATCACCCCGTTTTGTACCTAGAGAGTCCTAGGACAAAAAAAAAGTTGTAATTAAATTTTGAAAGTATGGTATGGTAGATGTTTCACTTATGATTAGCAGTGGTTTGCTAAAATCTAGTGGTTAGTATCTTGGACTTTGGTGCAATAGTGACGGGTTTCGTTATTATTTTGATTACTAATTGAGATGGGGATGCTTCTGGGCGTATCAACCCAATATTAATGAAGGGTGAGTGTAGAATGAAGTGAAATTCCTTGTGTAGCCTTTTTGCTTACCAAGACCAGCTATTTTTAGCTAGAATAATTTATTGGAGATCATAATAATTATTGGACATCAACGTCATCAAAAAGTTGCTGACTTTTGTCAAGATCAAAACAGCAAACTTCTAATTTCAGAGAACACACAGAGAAGTAAGAAACAGAGGATACATTCAATGGTACATTTAAGTGATGTCTAGAACCAGGCGTCTAGAGAAAATTTTATTCCTTACCCCCTTCCATTCTCCTTTCCCTCCTTGCCATCATGTACTACAGTGCTCACACTGTAGGAAGACCCTGTGCACTATAACTGCTGTACAAATATGCTATGTGGCTATAGTCGTTTGGGCTCTTCCTTGCTTGATACTAGTACGTTTCTGCCTCAACATACCGGAGCTAAAAGCGCACAGTTATCCCATGAGCTCGTATCTTTTGTATCTTCTCTGTTGCAAAAATCATAATCACTCAGCTACACAGCTACAGCCATCCCTGGATTATCAACAATCTTTTTAAGAGTTTGGCTTTTTGTTCTTTAATATTTAGTGTCCTCTATTACAAGATACTGAGAATGTAAGTTAACACTACAAAAATAATAAGTTAGAACCTTTAAAGTAGGAAACATAACCTAAATTACTATAGGTGAGTGTTACCACAGTGAAAGATTTCTGGGTTACTACTTCATTGATTAAGCTACTACTCGTACTATGAAGAGACATAATTAAAACTCAAAATAAATTATTCTTTTAACAAATCATAAAAATGTATTCTTTAGAATTGTAATAAACAGTAATATTTGGAATTAAAATATAACCTGAATCTTGTTAATGTGCAGTTCCTATTTTAAAATAGTCAACCATTGATTTAAAAATGGTATTTTATTCATGTGTATTTATGAAATGTTAATTTAACTTACCATTGTCGATATGAATTAATTTAATTTAACTGCAAAAGATTTAATCAGTCCAATGTATTTATTTTAATGACCCAATTAAATTTGCTTACAATCACTGCAGCCACTAGTGAAGCGCTTCCTTAATTATTGCGTCGAAATAATCCGAGATTAAACCAATCAGAAGACCTCAACGGAGGACTAATTGTGAAGACATTAGAGCCGCACTCACACTAATGCCCGAGACAGGTTAATTTGATTTTTCTCTGCCGGCTTTTCTTCGGTATAATCCTTCAAGACAGCTACTAGTGCTTGTTGTGAGAGAATATTGAATCACTGATGGAATATTCATCTTATTTACTGATCCTGCTGTGCTTCCACAAGATTCTTGTTTTCTCTTTCTTCTTATAAATAACATTGATTTTGCACATCTTGACTGAAAAATATTTTTTTAGTTAAAATATAAATTTTGTACTAAAAAGTATTTTTAACCGTTATGTTATTTGTTATAGTACAACCTTGTTGTGGGACAGGTCCAATAAAGTTGAGATAAATGAATTTTATCAATGGATTTCTTAATTTTTCTACTTCTGACAGACCTCTTTGCCTTTTTATAAACTGAGGTCAATTCAATAACTGTCAGTCTGGTTTGACATGAGAAGGTCAAGTTTGGCATGGCTCACAGTAACAGATCTCTCTGATACTTTGTGAAGTTGTAATAACTTAATACCTACGTCTATTTGTAAAAAATTACAAAGCCAGGTTAAAAAAAGTAGTTTTTTTCCTATTGCAATATCAAATTATACATATACTATTTTCAAACAAAACACAAATACATCAATAGTTTCAAAATCTGTTCTTTCTAGGTTTCTTAAGAGATCTATTCCAACTGAGTCTTGCCATCTTAGCTTGGGATTTCTTAGTGGTCTACTACTCTCAAATCATGTTATTTTTGTTACAAATGATTTAAAAAATACTTTTTATCATAAAGCCTAATTATGCTTCCAGTTAAAGTGAAGTTTTAAAATCTGCCGTAGTACTTTTGTTTGCTTTGAATAGTGCAATTAGACTTCTCATCCAATAGTAAAAGTTGAAACCATGTTTTAAGGGTGTATTTAATCTTAGTAAAGTTTGAGTGCACAATTGTCCACATTGATTTTTTTTCTTTTAGGGTAGACTTTATAACCTGTACTTAACTCTTTGGTTATCTTGTCACAGGACATGCAATGGTTTATAAATCATTAGCTTTGTTTAGTTGAATTGATTTTTAAATTGGTTAAATGACAAGAAAGAACTGCATCTAACATTCTAACCTAGCAATTTTGTCTTCAGATGGCTCCTAAGTCCTAAGGGGTGGTAAATCTATAAGTAGTATGTTTCATTTATGGTGAGAGTGTCCTAGATTTTTATTATATGAACATAACCTATAGAATGTCTGTAGTGCTCCAATTACAAACTTCTTCAGCAGTTGTTTATCAGTAAACCTGTCAGTGACTAATGGTGTTTGACTCTAGGCAAGTCTCAGCTGATCCAATCAGCTGTTTAGCATACCCACAATGCACCTGGACACTACAAACTTAACCTCACTTAATTACAGATATGCTAATGTATCAAGAACCGAGACTGGTCAACTGTTTGTGGAACGTTGTCGTTGTTGGACTAGAAACTTGATTACAGATGTTTAGTTGGTTGTGTGGATCTCAAAAGAAGGTTTAAAATTGAAATACCCCCGCCACAGCAAACCTGCAGACTAAGCAAATTTCCATTTGCTTGATTGGATTTACACAAAAATGTCTCTTTGAAAATATCACATTTATTCCCTATTTAAATAACATTAATTTAACAAGTACTTAGGTTTGCTGCAACAGAGAGGGTAAAAATGTGTGTTTTTTTTAAATGTTAATAGTTTGGAATGAAATGAATGCATTTTCCAAATTTGATCAAAATATGTTCATAAACAAGCAAACTACAACAGTTTACTTATTCTCCATAAGAATAACATGGGAATTTTAAACTTAAAGTTTTTTGGTAATTTCTTCTCGTTTTTTGGAAAGAAAATGTAAAATTTTGAGTTTTTATGGTTAAAAATGGGGAAAACCAATTTTTACCCCATAAAACCCCCTCATAAACACCTGTTCCCATAGTCCGATCATGCTGGTTCGCGAACTCGTTTGAATAAACGTAGGTTTACATGTTTGTACCAAATTTCATCAAAATTGGATGAGTTTTGCTCGAGTTATCGCGCTAACGGACACATATATAAATATATATATATATATATATAAATATATATTTTGTTATTGTATACATCAGTGAGGGCTACTTTAAATGTTACTAAGCAAATCAAAATACCACAGTACCTATGGTAATTATAATAGATATAAATAATTATAATATAAAATAAAATGCTTTTAGGGTACTGTGGTATTTTGTTTTGATTAATAAATATATATATATATATGAATTTGAACGGATGGTGTTTTTGGCCTCTAGGGACCTCAAAATGAAAAAGTAAATCGGTCCTGGGTCCAGGTCTTACCATGAGTACTACGGTAATAGCTTATTCCCTATATGGGAAATTCACTAAAAACCAATAACAAATCTCAAATGAATGTATTAATTAGAATGTCATTAACAATCTAAACTAGTTTAACAGTGCTAGATAAATCCCTGGTAACTATTTTACTTACATTTTGTGTTCATAGTTTTTGTAACAGTTGATCTCAGCTATCACACCTAACCTAGGGTAGTTTTGCATAAAAAATGTTGAGATATTTTAGTTTTGTTGTTGTTAGATATTCTAATTGTAAAAAAAATTGAATCCACAGTGAAAAACTGAAGTTAAATGGATGATAAAGAAAAAACTAAACAATTGTAAATTAAACTGATCATAGAGAAACAGGAGGAAACTTTATCATGTATTGAGGAGATGAGTTTAAATAGCACAAAATCATCATTTGTTCATAGTTAAAAATCTAATTCTTCTGTTAAATATTACAATATTTTAATTTACTAAACAACCCTGATGTCTCATTGAATATATTACCTTGTATGAAAAACCTGTAAACTATTTACTATAAAGAAAGATAAATTTTTATATGGGCATTACACAATTTAAACACAATGTCGAATCTATTTTCTTAGTGTCAGTCTTGCTTACTCACATCATGAGAGATTACTCTGTTATTAAAACAATCATAATGGGACCACCTCCTGAAGGCTCTTACTATGTAAGAACGCCCACAAGTATGACTCGATTGATACACATATCAACTATTAACATACAGTTCGCCTCAGGGATTACAAGATTATGGTAGGCGATAATGGCTTATAATTTGATATCGAGTGACTGATCTTTTATAGCAAGCAATAGACCGTAATTTGCTCACCCACTTGTAGCATTGCAAATTGTTTGTAAGACTCTACGTAAGGGTTCATCCTACACATATTAATTATCTGCATTAAAGGATCAGAAAGTTTTATATGTTTTGTTTTACTTAAAGAAAAACTCCTCTTAGACTCATGTGTCCACTAAAAAGGGGAAGTTTTTGTGAGTTTGATTTATTTGCTCTCATAAGCACATTTTAAAGTTCTTTTCAACTATAAGCTGAAAAAATCTAGT